TTACTTTGTTTTACATAAATAGAGATTCTGCTTGAAAGCCAAATGACGTGTTAAATGTTTACTTTGTTTTACATAAATAGAGATTCTCTTTGAAAGCCAAATGACGTGTTAAATGTTTACTTTGTTTTACATAGAGATTCTGCATGAAAGCCAAATGACGTGTTAAATGTTTACTTTGTTTTACATAAATAGATTCTGCTTGAGAGCCAAATGACGTGTTAAATGTTTACCTTGATTTACATAAATAAATTCTGCTTGAGAGTCAAATGACGTGTTAAACGTTTACCTTGTTTTACATAAATAGATTCTGCTTGAGAGCCAAATGACGTGTTAAATGTTTACTTTGTTTTACATAAATAGAGATTCTGCTTGAAAGCCAAATGACGTGTTAAACGTTTACCTTGTTTTACATAGAGATTCTGCTTGAGAGCCAAATGACGTATTAAACGTTTACCTTGTTTTACATAAATAGATTCTGCTTGAGAGCCAAATGACGTGTTAAACGTTTACCTTGATTTACATAAATAGAGATTCTGCTTGAGAGCCAAATGACGTGTTAAACGTTTACCTTGTTTTACATAAATAGATTCTGCTTGAGAGCCAAATGACGTGTTAAATGTTTACTTTGTTTTACATAAATAGAGATTCTGCTTGAAAGCCAAATGACGTGTTAAACATTTACCTTGTTTTATATACCAAAATAACAATTTTCAAAACTATCATTCAGGTAGGTTATATCCATTCATATCTTTGACTGCACTTTAACTACTATGTTTTTTTAAGCCACGTGGGTAGAACTCTCTTATTAATAATAATATTTAGCAAAATGAGTTTTTTTCAAATTAAGACTTAAAGCCAAATCTAATACTATTGATGTAATAGAATATAAGTATCCTATAGTCTCAAGGAAGTTTAAGACAGTCTATGGATTGCTCCTCGAAATTTGTATTCATTACGAAGCACAAGAGCTAACACAAAACAAGCAAGCAGACAAAAATGCTTCACGCACCTCCTGACAGATGGCGTTAATGTCAGCTCCCGCGATCTTATCTGGACGAGCTACATAGTCCTCCAGGTCAACTTCTTCACTCAAGTTCATTTTTGCAGTGACCGTGGAAAAGATTAATCTCTTCTGTCGCCGGTCTGGCATGGGAAATTCTATCTTTCTGTCTAGTCGGCCAGGTCGTAACAATGCGGGGTCAAGGGTGTCTGCTCTGTTGGTTGCCATTATCACCTTCAATAGAATATTACCTGGTTCACAATAACTTAAAAAGAGCGAATGTTCTTTTCATAACTTAAATTAAATGCATATACTTGATACCTGGAACTCAAGTTTTTATAATAAAACTGGTTAAACACTAAAGAATGTTACTTATACGTATTCTGTCAAAGATAATCAGCCTTTAATAAACTGTTAAAATTTCCACCAAGTAGCAGGATGTGATAAAAAAGAAATATATATATATATACACACACACACACACACACATATTATATATATATGATGATATTTAAAAACAGGCTTACAAACAGAAAATTTTATATTCTTTATAAGCAACTATACCAGTATTAAATAAATACGTTTAGTAGTATGCTAAAGATTTGACTTTCAAGGAAATGTGATCTTAAACTTCCACACCATTCAATACTAAACAAATCTTGAATACCAACTGGGTGTAGTATAAAAAGTTGAAACTGATGGTTATATCTTTGGTACCTTGCAAGAGTTAATCTATAAACACCATATATACAGGGCACACCACTACATAGAGTTACCTCCTGTAATACAAATCAATTGTGTGTCCATAACATCATATCTTAATAACCCTGAAATATAAATCGTAGATCACACGATACTAACAACTATGAAAGAAAAGATGCCAGGAACTAACTGCATTTCCCTGATATCTGAAAGATGGACAATGGGAAGTTAGTGAGAAGTCATCAGGTCACTTCAATACTATTGTCAACAGGGTGGCAGTGTAGTTCCGTTCACATCAGACAACATAAAACCAATTGAACAGACATCGTGCTGCGGGTTGACCAACCAAACAAAATCACTGCTCTTATTGGAGGGCAACTACCATCAGAAGTTCTAGATGGACATCTGCCTCACTCCAGGCAATCCCGTGGGCCCAGATTTAATATCTCATAGATACAATGTGTAACTGTGTTTCTACTTTAAACGTGGCAGATCCATCAGTTACTAACGATATTTGGTAACCTTTGTTTATATAATAAAATGGCATTCTTCCTACAGTGGGTGTCTATTTATTTATTGGTAGTTTGGATATAAATACATCATTAGAAAGCCATTGTAATGCTCTATACTGCTTAGAGAAAACTTGGTGACTAATATCATCAACCGGCATTGCTGAACGATGGCAGTCGGCCAAACCAAACATTATATTAACCAAGTATGTAATCAGTAAAATTAAAGTATTAACCGGTAAAATATTCTAAGATTTCAATTAAGATATTCAAAATATAATTATTAAACCACAGTTAAATAAAATAATATAGTTTTATTTTTCTCCGCAAATACAAGCCCTGTCCACTTACCTTCACATTTGTTGTTTGATCAAAACCATCCATCTGATTGAGCAGTTCGAGAAGAATCCTCTGAACTTCTCTGTCAGCTATGATTATGAAAATATTACAAATGAAAGTTTGTAAGACATCTCACATTTTTTTATTTAATGGTAGTTACAAAATAAATTAACAGTTAGTAGTTATATTGAAGACTCCATATATGTTATTTAAGCTATTGTAATAGAAAACCCAGTGGAGATAACCTTGGGTATTGTGGCTTTATATTCATTATTATCAACAATATTATAACATGTAAAACTGAAAAAAAGGTGAGGATAATTATTCTTAAGGCTTACTATTACTAAAACAAGCACTTCTAATACAAAACATAACAATCTTTGGAGAGAAACGTGTTAAAGGTACTTCAGAAAAGTAATACAAAATTTCTCTGCTCACAGTTCCCAGTAGGAAAGTTCATCATAAAACAGAAACAACTCGAGGTAAAAGACCATCGTTCAACGCCTGTCTTGTTAAAGTGGGTTTTCCCGGGGCATTGGATTTATAGATCTCTGCCTTTCCGTGTCCCTGTTAAGGGGCTGTTGTTTATTTGTCCCCAATAAAGACTTGAACCCTGACCTTCACCTTGCTACCTTTGTCAACTCTCCATTTTCACCTTTAATTTTTGTCCAAGTTCTAGATTGCCATACTTTTGATCAAAATTTCAAATTATTTCAAGTTTGAGAAATTTATGCAATAACAATTAAAAATCTCTTCTTGAATAGGATAATAGCCAAAGTTCACTTTTGCTAAATATGATCAACATGTGTGGGGCGAAGGGATTTATCAATATTCCCAAGCACCCCAGTTGGGGAAAATTGGGTAAATGTTCCTTTAAAAACTGAATCCCTGCAACATTTAAAAAATAATAATAAATATATAAGTATAAGAGAGACCACAGGTATCATAAAACAAACAGCTCAAGATAAGAGACCACAGGTATCATATAACAAACAGCTCAAGATAAGAGACCACAGGTATCATATAACAAACAGCTCAAGATAAGAGACCACAGGTATCATATAACAAACAGCTCAAGATAAGAGACCAGAGGTATCATATAACAAACAGCTCCAGGTAAGAGACCACGGGTATCATATAACAAACAGCTCCAGGTAAGAGACCACAGGTATCATATAACAAACAGCTCAAGATAAGAGACCACGGGTATCATATAACAAACAGCTTCATGTAAGAGACCACAGGTATCATATAACAAACAGCTCAAGGTAAGAAACCAGAGAACTAATAAAATCAAATACTTGACACAAATATATAATAAATGCTAACCATATACAGCAAAAAAATATTAGTTCATTCTGAAATACAAAATAAAAATTTCCTAACCCGTATTTGTATATTTGTAAGCACAAAGCTACACAATGGGCTATCTGTGTTGTGCCCAACACGGGTATCAAAACCCAGTTTTTAGCATTATAAACCTTCAAACTTACCACTGAGGGGGGGGGCAGCTAATATGCGAGAGGGGGAAGTATAGGGACGGTAATGCTCTTGCTGAACACTATCATCTACAGTCTGTCAAAAAAACAAAACCTTTTTATCGTCGCTCATTCTCATGATTTTGAAGATAAAAAGTAAGACTTTCAACTTTTTTATCATTAATTGTGTGAAAATGTTCGATGCTGTATTTTATTGCACAATAAATATTACATAGTCCAGATTTAGAATGTCTGGTGAATACTCTCACAATAAAACACACACATTTGCACTTGTTCAGCATGACAATCTAAGTAGCATGTAAATTAGCTGGCGATAGAAGTGACTAGTCCCCCACTGATGATTAACAAACATAACAACTACTTAAATGAAATGTCAGAAAGTTCAAAATTAAAGCAAACTGTTGAAGTAATTAATCAGTTATTAAAACACAATCTTTATAAACATCACTATCATACTAGCTACTTCAAAATAACCTAAACCGTATCTAAATAACCATTCGATTGTTTATACTACTTATTAATGGATAAAATAATAATTAAACACAGTAGATAAGAATAAGGCACACACACACACCTCCAGTCTGGGCATCAAAGCGTTTCGTAGCAATGGCATCAATTTCATCAATAAAAATAATAGCAGGAGCATTTTCCTTAGCTAGTCGAAAAACGTCTCTCACCATTCTTGGACCTTCACCGAGGTATTTCTGAACAAATTCAGACCCAACAACTCTTATAAAAGCAGCTGAAAAGTAAAGAAATTGAGTATTAGTATTTTAATATTCACTTACTTCGATGGATTTGTTTGCTTGTAATTAAGCACAAAGCTACACAATGGGCTATTATGTTCTGCCCACCGTGGGTAACGAAACCCGGTTTCTGGCGTTGCAAGTTCACAGACGTACCGCTGTGCCACTGGGGGCACACTTTGATTGAGAAGCAAATGATCCCAGTTATCTCGATGATAATATTATATACAATGACACAATGTTTAAGCAATCATCAAAAATGATAAATTACTTGAAGCGCTCAAAATGACTCGGTTGCATCTGTTCACAAACATTAAAGATCTTAAAACACATCACTCCACAGATTAAAAAAAAACTTTTCATACGTTACTGTTAAAACTCAACTGGATCCATTCGGTTTTATAAATGTATCTTTTCTTTAGTTAGTGGTTTGGATTTATTTAATAAACTTCTAATTTCTCTCCTAAAATTAAGTTCTTGAAACAATTTATAGATTACTGTTGAGAAAAGTACAAGCTTTTTTTAAATTAATTTTCAGATTTGAAAATCATCATTACATTTGAAAGAAAAAACAGGTCCTAGTTTGTAGATTTTAGACCATTTTGTTTGTTTCAGGTATTCACACAAAGCTAATTTTGAACTAAGAAGTTAGAGGAAAGTCTTGGACTATTGTGATTGAATAGTGGAGGGCATGATTTTACAGTAACAGAACCCCAACCATAGACCCATGGAATCCAGAATATGGCACACTAACACTAGACCATGCTTCGCCCATTTTTTCACAAATAAAGAAAACCAGGAGCATGTGCACTAGTGACCATAAACTCACCTGATTAAAAACAGAACTTGTGGTTATATTATCAAATAACAGCTCACTAGCCTGTAGCTCATCTGATTAATAACAGAACTTGTGGTTATATTATCAAACAACAGCTCACTAGCCTGTAGCTCATCTGATTAATAACAGAACTTGTGGTTATATTATCAAACAAC